ATTTTACCAGCCACATTTGCTCACTCTGAAATTTCAGGCTGTTTGGAACATGCTGGATGGAGTTTCACAGCATCTGGACTAGAGCCTGACCCCAAGAAAGGAGATGGAAAGAAAGGCCACCCTTGAGGTCTGACCCTGCAGAGTCAGGGAGGTTGGCGGTCCCGGGGCTCTGTTCTGCAGGACAGGGTACTGCAGTCAGTATGACCCAGGGGGGGCATCTGCAAAAGGGCCTCATGCTGGCACTTCAATTATTGCATGAAATGTTTCTTCAATTAATTACATGCATAGAGAAAAGAGTTTAGATACTCCTAGCAATTCCATCAGATAACTGCACCAACCAAAGATTGTTCTGTAGGGCTGAATAGGATTGATTAGAGGTGGAGCAAGAGAAGCTGTTTTAAAACTGGCTTAACTGTTCTTTCATCTAGACTAGACACCATTTACAAGAACACGAGGCTGTAAACTATCTCATTCTAAAACCTGAAAAGACATCCAAAACAGATTTTGGAGATCCAAAACGCTCCTCTAATGGATTGGGTGGGGTTTTCAAAAGCACCCAGCATGTGTCTAAAACTCTGGCTGACTCCGTGTTACAATGCCTGAGAGGGGACTTCAGCCAGTGCTGAGAGCTTCCAACGACCCCACCCAACCAGCAGCAGTGTCACTGAAATGCCAAATGACAGTGAGGGGTTCAGTCAACAAGTTCTATGACAATTTCTACAACTACATTTTTCCTTCAGAACAAGTATATTTTTTCAGAGCTACATGACATCCAGATAGGTGGGATGGAAGAGCAAACCACTGCCTACTCTACACTGACTGCCCTCTGCATGCATAGAGGGTGGGTAGGGATCACCTCTGCATCTGCAGCACCCTCCTTCCCGGAATATCTGCGCTGTTTGTCACCTTACATCTCTATACATCGGGATGGGAAGGCTTTGACTGGGACAACAGGTTATCCATTCTGCAGATGCCCCAGGGGATTAATTCCATAGGCAATATTATTTTTGCCTACATTGCTGGGTTGGAATCACTACATGTGAGCTAGAACACTAAGCAATAGCTTGAAATCTGGATTTCGTCAAAGTTATTATCCCTCTTGAGGACTCCCAGGCTCTGCTTCACCACACCACACTTGAACAACCCAGGAATACCTTCCTCCTTTTACTGCCCTTAGCTTTTTCCTCTCAAACCAAATGAGTGATACGGCTCATTTCAGGCAGATATCTATGCAAAACCAACTTGAAGAGATTAAATTCAAGCCCTAGTTTGACTTTCTACATCAGAAATTCTACATCAGAAATTTGTTCCTATGTGTAACAGATTACAAAGCTTAATCAAATAACCTGATGTCTCCCTTAAACAGGAGAAATAGGAAGATTTTTGAGATCCTGAAGAAAAGAGATGCCTCTGAAGAAGACAACAGGAGCTCTGACTGAGCAAAATTCAGTTCTCACCGGTAGCTGGTGATGAATGTTGATGTTTTTTAAAGACATTAGAAGGATTTCCACAAACAAAAAGCACACAAGTATAAAACTTGTAAAAAAAGTACTGGACCTGGACAATTTATCGTAATATAGAACCCAATGTGGTAATAAAAATACTGTATATGTAGCCAATAAAAGGTTTTATATAATCACAAGGACAGAGAACAACAGTGTTGAACCAGAAATATCAGTTTGGACTTTCTTCTATTTGGTAACTGGTAATGCTGTCTAAATAAGGCACAAATATTAGCCTTTTTAAAATATCACTGATAGTAAGTGGAAAAGATTCTGTAATATTATAGAGCTAAAAAAGTACCTACAGTTAAATTCAACATAGATATAAGACTGCGTCATTTTTGAGCCCATACAAGGTTCAAAATCAAAAAAGACATACTGTTTAATGACCGTAAACACTCTCTGTGCTTTATAAATAGGAAGGAAACAATGTGGCATAAGCACAGTAACTAACATTTTGACTGAAATAAAAATAATTGTAAGTTGAATTTTACCTTCCATCTTTCAGTTCATCTGTTTACTTCTTTTCAGCCTGCATCTTTACCCAACGAAACAGTGAATTACTGTCTTTACAATGCCTCGGTTTGGAAAGATTCCCCTATCAAAGTTTCCATTTTATGATCCTTATAATAACTATAAAAATATTAGCAGCCTCACACTGCTTCCACAGTTTTTTTCCACAAGGGTGAGAATGGGACAATTTAAGTGATTATAGGAACTCAGTGTCTAAATCTGCCCATGGCAGGGAGGTTGGAACTCGATGATCTCTAAGGTCCTTTCCAGCCCTAACCATTCTATGATTCAATGATTCTATAAATCTGATGCAAAGCCAGTAAGATTTAGTCTATCAGAGAGGCATTTTTGAGAACCATTTTCTGGCAGCATTCCAGGACTTATGTGTTTGATGGTTTTGAAAGTAATGATGCCATAATTTCCAATTTTTTTTCTATTTTTCTCCTTAAGACATTAATACTGTTTATTATCTTTAATAAATGAAGAAAACAAAACATCATCTTATATGGAACCATGGCCAGAAACACCATGTCAGATGCAGAGGAAAAGAAAAGGTGAATCTTGAAATTTTTATCAATAAAATGCAAGAACATGAATGAGTGAGAAGGGCTACAAGAACGAAAACCTCTGAAATCCAAAACACTCCTCTAATGGATTGGGTGGGATTTTCACAAGCACCCAGCAGGTGTCTAAAACTCCAGCTGCAGTCTGTGTTACAATGCCTGAGAGGGGACTACAGCAACCTTTGTGTTGCCTGTCTTCTCTCAGACATGCTTGGCAGCGCTGCGTTTGGGTAACGTTTGGTACCAGCAAAGGAGAAGAGTCCCCCCTACAGAGTCATTAATACCACCTCTAAACAAGTGTCAGTGAGGTCGCTCTGCAGCTTTCTCATCTGAGCAGTGCCTGAGGTACCTGGTCTGACCCACCTGGAAAGTTTAGAGCAAAGATTTAAAGTAATTTTTATGATACTTTTGATTTTTAATAATGCAAAATATTTTGCCAACTAACTTTATGTTATTAAAAAAAAAAGTCCACACCATAACATGTTGATATACAAGAGGAAACCCAAGAACAGACAAGTACTCTGGAGTGCAGACCTCTGGCCATACAACCTCTAACTCTGGAGTAATGAGATACTCCAGCAATGCAGATTGCAGATGCCTTCAGGAATGCTCGTGCTCTAATCAGACACAGATATTTCTGTAAGATTTGCACTTTTACAACCTTTTACCTTCATTGCATCGATTGAAAAAAAAAAAAGAATCTGTAGGCTCATCCTCAATGACACGTACTGGCCCAGCCCTTCTCATTCTGGAACAAGCTAAAACTTCTGCATTAATAAAGCCAAGGTCTCACTCTACTGCATATCGTTGGTAAAGCATCCAACATTGCCTCTGTAATAATATGGATCCATTCCCTTATGTCAGCTGCCAAAAAAACCCTTTCCATTTGCGTTAGTTAGAAGGAAAATTCATTCATAAATCTCAATGTGGCAACTGATACTAAACTTTGCTCCAAACTACTATTAAGATATTAAAGTGCAATCTGATCCAAATACTGACCTCATGAATGAGCTCACTCAGGCCTATACTAACCATCCATGCCAAAAAGGGAAAGAAAGAAAAAAGGTTTCTGACATGAGTTTAGAAGAGCAGGAGAGCATTCTTCTCAGGCACAGTTCATTTTAAACCCATGTGCTGCTTCTGCCAAGTGCATCGCAAACATCCTTCAACTCCAATCTACTGAAACTTACTTCATGCCCTACCTCTCCTGAGCTATTGTGGAGGACAATGTGTGTATGCTAAGATGGGGAGATGGAAAAAGAAAAGGGCAGGAAAATTTAAAAAAAAATTTAAAAAAGGAAAGAGCTGCTCCACATAGCAGCAAGAATTTTCAGACTTTAAATATCTAAATATTCCTCAGGAATGCTGCCAGAAGGAGGACAAATGCTCATTCTAAATACAGTCTACATCAAGTCTATTTATTACCCTTCACTGAATTTAGAAAAATATTTTAAGTTGTTCGACTTGACTAAAATGAGAGTTGGATACACATAGTCTCAAGTTTAATCTGTAATTTTAGTTTTCTAGTGTTACAAGTAATTTTCAGTCATGACTAATAATTTAGCTAAAAATGACTTCTAAGTAACAGTAATCTGATCTACCCTCAAAAGGTAGCTACTAAAAATCAAAAGAAAATTGTTCAGAAGAGGCACAAATGAATTTTCAAACACTATTAAACCATGGAAATTAAAAAATAATAGAAATCAATTCCACTTACACTTTCCTTTCTGAAAGATTTTAGGTGAAGCAGTCTACCTAGGGAAACCAGATGTCTTTAAAGTGTCTTAGTTGTAAACAGAAGTTAATAAATGTCACATTATAATTCAGCACTTCATGTACTTTACAGAAGAGAGAAAAGCATGCGCTACCTTTTCAAAGTCTGGAAGACAGGGCCACAGTTTTAGTTGGGAGTAAGTTCCAAGTTATATTCACAAGAAATTCCTTAACCTAAAAAAAGTTTCCTTTTCCCCCTCCTTTGCTGAAGCAAATTCTTGCCATGGAAAATCATTATTGCTGTTTTGTAGATTTGCATCCATCTTCTAGGATAATTAAACCTCTTCTCAAAAGATTAAGGCAGTTATTATTCATTACAAACATTAATATTTGTACATTTCAGACAAATCGGATTGTTTGGTTCATTTCATGCTTAATGGGATTAACATAGTACCTTCAAAACCTGGTTACCTGTTAGATGATACCTTTCCTGCTGCTTAGAGGAAGCAGCATACACCTGCTGTATTTTTAACACAGAGACTAACTAGTACCTGATTTAAGAGTGCATCCATATATTTAGTTCTATTTTGTGGACCTAACTACAGCCAACAAATGAACTGGGTAAACACAGAAGCAGATGTCCCAATGGCAGAAAATGCATACTCAGCTGAAGAGAATTATTTTTTTATGATTGAGTATCTCTTATTCCTTTTTAATCTTTTGGTTATCATGTTATATGGAGTTTTATGGAGTCCTGAGTAGTCTCCCTTTAACTTCTGATGGGAGTCAAGTTTCTCTTCTCATAGTTTTCTTATGTTTTATTTCCACTGCTACTGCTGGATAAGCTATCCTTTGAAATATTTAAACCATAGTGAAAAGCAGAACTCAGTTTACATAACGACACTACTTCTTGAAGAAGCCCACCCTCTTCTGGACTTTCATTGCCCTCCTTCCCATCTTTCTCCCAAGGGACCAGAATGGATGGATGCTGAGCAAGACTTGCTGAGAGCTGATCTTCTGAGGTATTGCTTAGTGTTTCATTCCGCTTTGCATTCTCATAGGAAGAACAGCCTGTTTTGAAACTTTCTAGAGAAGCAAACTGGGCACTTGATTGTATTGGAGATAGGGATGTCATACTAGTGGTGTCCATCTTGTCAGTAATAAAGGTTTTGTCACTATTTTCTTCTTCCAGCCTTGAGAGAGATTCTCTATGGCCACCAGAAGAAACTTGCTTCCTTGGTGACGGAGGGAGCTGCTTCCCGTGGAGGACACTGTCATCCTGACCGAGGTTCCACTCTGCTTGGTCATTAGCACTACTGCAGAGCAGGGTAAGGTTGCTCTCACTAGGTGCATTTGACTTGTTCTGAAAGAAAGAAAGAATATGTGTTTATAGTTAACATCACAAGAAATGTCTGTATGCTGGCGCTTTTGAAGGAAAAATACTGTCATGGATTTTGTGTGTTCCTAAATAAAGAATCCCCTTTGGGTTCAAGGTTACAAAACAACAACCTCAGAAACAATGTAAGAGCAAATGTTTTTACACTTCATTGCCAAAACACTCTGTCTCTTATCCTAAGGATGGCTTTTTGTACAGAGGAAGGATTTCTGTTTCCCCTGTCCGTACAGTCTTTGCACAAGCAGTTCTGACAGTGAACAAAGACACACTTTGCTGGTTTGTACCCACAATATGAGAAGGGGCTGGTCTGAAACTAAAACCAGATGGCATTTCCTCTTTGCTTCAGCTATTAATGATACCAGCTTTCAATATTACATTTCTTTTTGGCCAAACAAACAAAAATGGGCATTTTATTAATGTGACCCTGGTATGACACTCATAATACAATTTTACAAGCTTTTTTAACATTTGCATCAGAATCTGCTGTTCCAGTAACAAATCTTCTACTACGGGATCCCTTTCAGAAAGAAAACAAACAAACAAAAAAGTTGGACAGCTGATATGAGCTGGAATTCAAAAACACAAGCATTTTTTTTGGCTAACATAGCAGCATTGACTTGGTGGGTTTTAAAGTCGTAGGCAAGCAGTTTGTTCACTCTACAGATCCTGCACAACTTTACCTGAAAGAGGATCAAGAAGCCCTCTTAGAAAGCTCTGGAACACTATTCTAGCAGTGTTTCAGGTGCAATTACCACATGGATCCTATGACTTAAGCAAGATGGAAACATCACCATATTACTATGACTAGTTTCAGGACACAAGATGAAAATGGAAAGAAATACCTTCTAATCCACATAAAAAAAAAGACTAAAACCAACTCTGGGAATCCCAGATTGAACAGCTAAATATAAGATTAAACTATTTGGCTAAGGAAATTATTACATTATTCACAGCTCTATATGTGGTTGCTGCTAGAAGGGAAAAATACTGTTCCTAGATGACTTGGTAAACTGGAAAGGTGTAACCAACTGCTTGACTGGTGAAAAATGCAGTGGCCAGCATGGGCGTACTGTTGCATAGCCCTAGGGAGACACTCTAGTAATCCTGCATACTATGCTGCAGCGTCTGAGCTGCACATCATTGATTCCGCAAGTGCAGGATTCCACTATAAAGGGACTGGAGTTGTTTTTAAAATGAAAGCAGAAGACTAACCGCAGTCTTGTAATCAATGTCATCCATCGACCTAAAGAAATCCAGGCTCTTTGCTCCTGAAAGCTTTCCTTGATCTGAACTGTGTGTGCTCAGCGTGTCCAAAATCTCCCCAAGCAAGTCCATTTCTCCTTGCTGCTGAGGAGTTATTCCAGTTTCACCAGAATCATCACTATCATAAAAGCAAGCAGAAGCTTCTTCACTGTCTTCTGATGATAACCTGAAAACAAAAACTTTTCCATCAGCTAGGAACATAAAAGCCATTTTATTACAGCCACTTCTGAAAGTAAGGAGAATGCATTCCAAGAGTTTTGAAAGGGAATATAAACCCGGAATTTCTCTCTGCTCAAGAATTTTCCTAAACATATGATATCTATGGAGACGCAGTTACCATTAGCTGGTTCTCCTGTCTCCTTGCTCTTCCTCAACCACTGTAACTGTTATTTCAAGTCACCCTTAATATCAATTCCCAAATCTTCCCTACAAAGTTTACAGTTGTTCCAAAATTGGTTCCTCTTTTCTCTTGCCTACACTTTAAACTGAGGTCAGTGTTGCCACTCCTCTCCAGCTGACCTAGCCACATATTTTGTTCTAGTGGCAAGACTCTCATACTGCAACTCTTCTGCCACATGACCAGCTTTACTGGAGGAGTACTGCCTCTCTGCAAGGAGAAGTGGTGGTTTTGTCTTATTTTCTCCTTCCTTCATTGCAATACCCTTACCTCTGACCCCCATACTACTGCAGCCTTTCCCTCTCTCTCTCTATCCAGAATACTACGACAAAGGGTATTTCCATGGCTCACTGTTTTGATTATATCCTTTGAACACTTCAGTAGCTCCCTCTTCCTTACTGCATCATGACTTAAGCTGCTTGACTTTGCTTTCAAGGTACTTCATGGTTCATATCTTTATGTTCATTGTCAAAAATTCTCTCCTGAATTCAATCAGAGAACACCTCAATGCAGTATAAGCCTCAACTTCTGATTTTCCTTTAATTCACACGTGGGAAGACCTTGATTTAAAACTCACAAGGCAATATTTCTCTTCCAAACCCCTCAGAAAACTTTTCGTTATCATGACCACAAGACAAGACTTAAAGAATACGTTCGCTGAGGTCGCTGCCTGCCATGTTGACAAATATTATATCACTGTTTCTTTGTGTACGTAGTCTATCTTTTTATCTTGAGTCTGTGAAGACTGAGGATTATGTCAAGCTCTTCTAGGCACTATAAATAATGAGAAGATATAATAGCCTGGCCCTCTTTTTAAAAGCAGATTTAATCCTAAACTACTTGACATCATCTAGATAAAGAATCAAGCTAGCAGCCTGGACAGGAGAAAAATGCCTCACTTGAACTCAACTTTGATGAATAACACTAGTTACCCTTTCTCCCCCCGACACACACATCCAAACAGGCTTCTTACTTGCTTGTTCTCTCCATTTCATCGTCATCATCTTCATCCAATGCAAAATCCTGGTTACTGAGATGCTGGTTAAAACGAGTCTGGAGGACAGAAAATTTTCATTATCATTTTTGTTTATTTTTTCTATTTCAGCATTATTTATCTGGGGACTAGCTGCCACCTTACTCATTAAGACTGAGAACTTGATGAGGAAAACTTCATATTGATCAAGTCTTCTAGAGGTTGTTATAAGACGATGTGAAGTCCTCAAGAGTCTCCAATTAAAGAGCAAGTGAACCAGTTTTCTTCATGGCCTATGGAGGGCCTTATTATTTATGCAAAACCTGGAGTGCCTTATTATTTATGCAAAGTCTTGATTAGCAGAAGACTGGCTACTGGAGGAAAAACATCACTCAACCCTTTCAAGAAAGTATATCACAAAAACCACTGTGGTTTACTACTTTCTGATAGAAATTTTTGCCAAGTTTTAGTTGATGTGGTCTACTGAGCATGAAGAAAAAGGGATTTTTGAAGTGGCAAATACAAAAGAAGTCAGGAGTCTCTTTACATACCTATATTGATGTTAGGGTGTTAAACACAATTGCAGAGTAAGTAGTATGCCAGTTAAAAAACTGTGCACTAAGAACGCGGGATGATTTACTGTAAATTACAGTTAACTCAAAGTTAGCATACACTCAGAGCATCCCATGGGGAGCTTGCGTAGAGTAGCTGGTGTGCTGTAAATTCACACACTAACATACTGAGCACTCACTAACCTGTTATATACCACATTATTATTTAGCAAACAGAACCAGGCTAAAGATTTCTACAATACTTGGAAAAAAAAAAAAAGTCTCTGTCTGGACCACAACTTTTAAGTCAGGAATTTTAGTCATTTGTGCTTCACAAATTACTGTCTTAAAGCCTGTGCATCTCTTATACTTGTTTTGTACCAAAAACCTGCAAAGATTTAACTAGGCAGGCAAGCCACTGAAAAGACTCTGAGCCTTGGAAAACTGGACATAATTTAAAGACATATGGACAGAATTTGTGCAAAGGGAAAACAGTGTTAGCTAACTTGAAAGAAAATCATACGCGAGGAAAAGAAGTGCTACTGCCCACATCTCATCATGCAGTTCACCAAATGCCTAAACCTACAACAAGCCCCTGATGGGGGAAAAAATATGGCCTTAATTTCAGACTACAAGGAGCCTGGAAATCTTGTACTGTGAAGTTTTCAGTACATCACTTATTACAGATGTTGTCAGTGTTCTACATGTACCAGGACACTCTGCGTAACTTTCGCCATTATTGTCAGGAATGTCTCAATGTTCACTCTTTATAGACTGACACACTTGTTCTTGTTCAACAACAGAGGATTTAATTAAAGCAGCAAATTTTGATAACACTTTCCATAGTTCTTCATCCACAAAGAGGAAACACACGGTTCTTAATGTGCTAAACCAAATAACAGGTGACAAAAAAAGAGTATTATTAGAGTATTAAAAACTATGAAAGAACCCAAACTAAACTTCATACTGAAAGAGAATCATAGGATGGAATGCAAGGAAACAAACTATATTTCCAACTCTTTCTCGGTTTTATGAGTTCTTTGTGTCATTCCCATCAGTGTTGTAATCAATCATATTCCTGCTTTTAACTAAAAGGAGGCTAACTACTCTGTCTTAATTGATATTGTTAATTGGTTAGCTTAGCGATTACTGCCACAACTACAGTCACTGTTTTCAGTTTAAAAGTTGCTGCTTTAAGAATTTATCTCCACTGGGACAATTAAACTGCTTTGTTTCTATAACTGATAATTCACCACTTCCCCAAGAACACTCTGATATGACATTCATTGCCATTAAAGCTCTAATCCTGCAACTGACTCTTGGAGGGCAAAACTCTTTGTCTCACTTTCTTGGAATTTGCATCAGAATGTGAATGATTGCCATCATATTTACTCCTACTAATGTAAAGACAAGATTTTGCAGAAAAGAAGGTTCTCTAAAAATGTTGAGAAACTTCAGAAAACAAACCCAAACCTGACACTTGTCCATCTGTAGATGGATTAACCTGTCAATGGAATAAAATCCCACAAGATAACACTCACTGATTTTTCAAAACAATAATGTTTCAAAGAGCACAAATGTCAAGTTTCAAAAAATTAATAAAAAAACAAGAAAATGAAAAAAAAGAAAAAAGGGAAAAAATAAAAGAAAAGAAAGGTAGTGGCTTTGAGAAACAGGAACTGAATAAAATGAATCAGAACCAGCAAACACCACAGGCATAGCAGTGGCCCTTGGAGCATCTACAAACAGTATTATGCAAGTGTGTTTGTGAAAGTAAAAATAACATCATGTAAAGGAGTGTAACAAAGCATATGTTGAAAAATGCAAAAAAAAAACCCCACCCCAAAACCTTCTAGTTCCTGATGATCAGAATCTCTCTTTGAAAAAAATATTTTTGTTACCAATTTAAATGTTTAGGGGTACAAAACTATACAAGACGACTTTCAAGAACTAAACCAAATAAAATGGGATTTACATACAAGGAAAAAATAAAACCAAAGGGGAAGGAAAGGAAAATATCTGGCTGTAAATAACAACGTTCTCCAGATTTTACAGCTCTGTGAGCTAGTCACAGAGACAACAAGCAACACATGTTTTTGAATAGGTGACTTTCCTCTAGGAGCTGTAATAAAATCAACTGCAAGGGAGGGGTATGTCCAGACTACTTTGCAAAGAAAGAAAGAAACTCTTAATAAATTCTAAAAGCAGAACCATAAATCTTTTTTCAATGCTCCACTAGGCAAAGTGACATAGTACGTGCACCTGCAAAAGCTGTCAAAGTCATTTAAGAAGTCCTTCCATTACTGACGTACCCTGCTGTTTGCAGTTATTTAAGCTTTTAATTTCTGTCTTTTCTGCATTTTGAAGTGTGTAACCTTTTTTATACCTTTTTATGAAAAAAGGACAGACTTCTGTTTCCTTCCTGATCAGCATTCTAGTAACAACCAGACCATTTAAATTTATTACCCCAAGAAATGATATGGTAACACTCCTTTCTTGCTGCACCAGAACTTTATAAAAGTCTTAACAGACTGCTGTCATGGTTTTTTCTATAAAATAAAGCAACAAACTTCTACTCAGTTGTTTTCCTTCTTCCAACTAGTTCTGCTTACATAACAAATCCATTATTGAATGTAACTACTTTATATCAAAACATGACCAGGGATTCAACTTTGGCTATTTCCAGTTCTTCTCACCTTCAGACACACTGCACCACCAGCCGGCATAGGGATATATATCCTTTTGGTATATATCATACACATCCCCTTTGCTTTCTGTCCCACTTCAAAATCTCATTCTGCCAAGTGGTCTGCTGGCTATACAGTTGTGGTAAAACCTGATCAGTGAAATCAGAAAAAGAAGGTGCTGACAATATAAATACAGGTAGAACCAAACAAAGTGAGAACAGGTCTCTCAATTGTTCTCTTCTGCTTGCTGGTAGCCTCACAAAAATGTAGGCAATATACATGGATGCTAAAGGATTTAAATGTAAGATGGCTACATTCTTAATCAGGTATGAAAGTCAGTCTTTGAAATGTCAACTTTTTATTTAATGCTAGACCTTTCAGAATGAATGCTTATTGATCAATACTAAGGCAGGAAGCTTAACAAGGCTGCTGCTATTAATTGTCCTCAAAGTGAGAAACAAATAATCTTTTGATAAATGGCAGCATGTATACAATTTCACATTTACCAGCTACTCAATACATCAACATATATGAAGTTTCAAGAAAAGAAAAATACCTACTATGGTTTAAATCCATGAAGTACTGTTTCCTTTTTCTTAAAAATTTAATGATTATTCATTCAGTATGAGAAAGCAAAATAAATACAAGTCCACTATTATTTATGGGTCAGTATTTTATTTTACCTATCCTCCTCTACAACCCAATCACAGATGTAATTATAGCTTCACCTCCAGCAGGGAAGTAAAAGATTTCCCAATCAAACTTTCCAGTTAAACACAACTCATTGTCTTCCTTTCCAGTTAAAGACCGCAACCTAAAGCAATGGATAATGAAGTCACAGGAAAAGTACTTTACATTACACTCCGCAAGAGCCAAGACTGATGGGGGAAGAGGTAAAGAACAGAGATAAAAAAGTAGAATTTCTAAACTTTCTCTTCTTCAATGCCCTTCTTCTTCTGGGACATGGTACAAACAACCACAAGCTTAAAGCAGCACTAGGGACACCAATTAGCTACATGGATGCCAGATCAGGACAGATGCAAGCAACAATTCTAGATTAATTTCTAGAAACGATCCCTTCAATAAATTACTTGTGTGCTTTTTACTCATAGAAAGTAACACAAAGTAATGATGCCTCACAAAAATAATGCTCTGACATCAGAAAAATTGTCCTGGATATAAATTAAAAGTTATTTTAAAATTATTATTATTATTACACAGGACTAATGGATAATTTTAAAACTATTAAAGTTAAATAAAAAGCCCCTTCATCCTTCCTTGGATAGAAATCTTCTCTGCTTTAACAGATTCAGACATACAGATGACATTTTTGAAGGAACATGAAGTGGCTGGAACCATCCACAGCTGTATGCCACGAGACAGAAATGTCAGCAATTCTGAGATCATGGTAATTAAAATGATAAGGAAACAGAGATCTACAAAAAGTAGGTTCCCAGTGACAGGACGAATTCCTCTTCTGTGACAATAAAGAGCCTGCAAGAGCAGGAAATCCCCAAAAATCTGTTTAGAGACACGGACAACCAGAAAGGTGTAGATAAGAGTATGGCCACATTCCTCTGAAATGCCAAGTAAGCTGTGATGCCACAGGGATCTCCACTGACTCCGGTAAAGTTAAAGGAAGCATTAACATCCACGCTGAGGTAGGATTCATCGTAAGTAAGGATGATAAATTTGTTGAGATACTTAGTCATGGATAGCACATTATAATTATTTATGTTCTTAATTACTGTGATGAAAAATTAAACTCTAAGCTTCCTACCTCTATGTATGCTATACTCCTGAACACAGATAATATTTCAGAATTCTGTGACGCTGCTTTCC